ATTAAGGGATATTGGGCTCTCCGGGTACCACAAGCCCCCGAAAGAGCCATGTCGATGGCTCCAGGCACGTCGTGCGGACAGCAACCAAACGGTACTCTACGCTGGGGTTTAGGGTTTAGGGTTTTAGGGCTATAGGGTTTAGGGTTTAGGGTTTGACTCCACGCACTTGTTGGGGAAGAAAGCTTGGGAACCAAATGAACCAAGTGATGATTCCGATCCCAATTTTGGGGAGCCTTGACTATGGCTCGGACGAGGTTCCTCACGGCCTTACAGAAACCATGCTCTAATGGTGCTATCTCCTCTGATTGAAGGTCTTACCTACTGCTATGCTGACTTCAATGATACCCAAAGCCTAGAACAACAACGCGAGACTTTCTAGGTTGAATCGCAACCGAGGTTCTCCGATAACCCTGTGGCAGACAGTGAAGACCTTGTACCTCAAGCGGCAGTGAAGATGCTACGCCCAAAAAAAGGTGGCTTGGAACCCTAAACCCTAAACCCTAAACCCTAAACCCTAAACCCTACGACACGTCCGGCTCAAGGGCTTGTAGAGATGGAATGGATATCTTGATGCCAGAAAACCGCAATGGTGGTGATCATGATGATGGTGATGATGACGCTACTTTTCGGGCCACACTACTACTGTGGTGTCAAGAGGAACTTGGTCAGTTGTATGAGACAAAAAAGTACTGTGTGTTGCTCAACATCTGTGCTGATAGCTAAGATTCAGTGTATGCGATCTGCATGATCTATGGGACGCTCCAGAACACGCAGGCTGCCCAGTGTGCCTGAAATACCCTAAGAGACCCAAACCCTGAAGCCTGAAGCCTCAAACCCTGGAATCGCAGCCCTGAATCGGGGCGCGCAATCCCAGCGGGAACCTTACCCTAAACCCTAAACCCTAAACCCTACATCCTAAACCCTAAACCCTAAACCCGTCTCTGCAAGGGGGCTGGGGGCCCTGGCCGGCAGTCGGCCCGTTTTGGCTCCTGATCTTACTCAGGCGGCTTTCAGTTGACAAGAAGACCCTCTACCTCCAACTCTCCCTTAAGAACGTCGAACATGGTTGTTTCTGCGGGCAGCATGTCATCTTCCACTATATCCACTATTCAACTAGGCTTCAGCCTCAGCTGCAAGATCTGTCCTCGCCCGGGCACACTCTGGGCGGCGAAAATGTCTTCTGGATGAAGAACGCAGAGACACTGGCAGGATCAAGATGTGCTGACATGCACGTCGACCACAGAAAGAAAAGCTGAAACCAAGCAACAGTGAACAACGAGCATGCATCCTCCTCACTGAAATCATGATCATACAATGGCGAACGCCCCTAAAGCCCTCTATCAGCCAAAAACGCCATCCCGGCATGATTCCGCACCATGGCCTGATCGTCAAAAGCACAATCTCCAACTGTATGGCTTTATGAATGTACCTCCGCGCAAGAGATTGCTGACGCTGGGATTCTTGGCAACAATGCGAGGTCGAGAGAATCTTTGCAACCCTGAAGCCCTTTTTTCTGTGCTTCCAACACCCGACATGGCTTTGGGCTCGTGCTTTCTGTAGGGCTTGGAACTTACTTCGGCTGGGGTTCTCGGGCGTAGTGGCACGGAACTTGAAGAATCTCCAGATGTCCTCAAAGACGAGTTGTTTTTTTCAAAGCACGGGTGCAGTCAAATCAGCCCGGACAGATGCAATGTGCAGAACGCGCCGGTAGCTGCAGGTTTATTTGGAGGTTCATGGGAAGTGTTAAACGTAGGGTTAGAAAAAACCCTTCACAAGGTTAGAGGTAGCCTGCTTATAACCCTGCTTCTAACAACCCTGTTCGAAGACCCACCAGATCGGGTAAACCAGGAACTCTTACCGGGTTGAGCGTAAAGACCTGGTGATCCGAAGAAGAGGACATCAGTCGCCAGAATCGATAGCATTCTCAAAAGCCTACATTTGAGTATTGGGAGGACCTCCCGAACGAATCAAGGCTCCCGAGATAGTAAACCCTAAACCCTAAACCCTAAACCCTAAACCCTAAACCCTAAACCCTAAACCCTAAACCCTAAACCCTAAACCCTAAAAACCCGGGAAGAAAGACCTAGACCCGGAAGCCCTGCACTCAGCCAGGGCTTGAACAAGCTTTCGAACTGGAGGACGCCCATCATGTTGAGCACGGCCTGAGCTCTTCCGAACACTCGGCTTCAAGGGCTCAAGGAAGGTGTGACCCTGAACCCCAAACCCTAAACCCCTAAACCCTAAAACCTAAACCCGAAACCCCTAAACCCTAAACCCCTAAACCCCTAAACCCCTAAACTCCTAAACCCCTAAACTTCTAAACCCCCAAACCCCTAAACCCCTAAACCTAAACCCTACGAACTTCCCATGTGGCCTCCCAGGCCATGACGTGACACATGAAGCTACGGGGCATGTCTGGCTTCGGCAAAAGAGGGGGCGCCTCAACGATCCTCTGCAAGGGGAAGGGGGGTTTTGGGGTTTAGGGTTTCGGGTTTAGGGTTTCGGGTTTCGAGTTTAGGGTTAAGGGTTTAGGGTTTAGGGCTGGTGGTCCGATGGGCATCGGAATATTTGCAACTGCGAGTTCTGCATAAGCAGCAAAGCCGAACGGAGGGGCTGAAGCTGAAAGATTTACCATGGCCAGGGGGCCGGGGCGCAGAAGGATGCGCGCATGGCGTAGCCGAAGTAGATCTCCACCAACTCCGACATTGGGAGCAAGACCTAGCAATGACTCGGTTGCCCAGCACAGCCTAGGGAGCCTGCTGTTTAGTTGAATGAAACGTGAAAACGGGAACCTCGCCTTATGTAAAGATGTGACCACAGCATCCACACCCCGGAACCAAGAAAAGCAGACTAAGTAATATAGGGGCCTGAACCATTAGAATAGGGTTTTGGGGGGTTTATTATAGTACACTTACAAAGGGACCATAAGGGAATATTACTAGTAACTATTCCCGACCCCTACAGTATGGTGTTTTTTTTTCCGGAGCTTAGGCATTCGGGTTTGAGGTTGAGGGCAAAGGGGTCAGGCTTCGCATCCGAAGATCCTCAATCCCCCTGTCGGAGGATCCGAAACCTTAAGCCCTAAGCCCTAAATCCTAAACCCTCAACCCTACATCCTACAAATCCTAAACCCTCAACCCTAAACCCCAAACCCTAAACCCTAAACCCCAAACCCTAAACCCTCAACCCTAAGCCCCAAGCTCAGGGCCCCCCAAGTTTTGAGTTGGGGGGGATCCCTTGAGGCCTTACGAGGCCGAAGAGAAAACCTAGGAATCAAAAGGGGTGCCCCCTTTTTTTGGGCTTACAGGGGCTGAAAAAGGGACCCCAAACCCGAAATAAAGGGGGGGTGCAGGGCCTGCTCTGAGTCCGAGCCAGGACACATTAAGCACGAACCTTCTTGGCTGCACTCAAGGAGGGTAGCTATAAATCCGCCGAGGCCTCGGGGCCGAAGGTGTACAGGTAGTCAGAACCCTTTTTTTGCCTCAAATGGGTACCCCCCCTAGGTGAGCAGGGTCCGCAAGCGGATGGTTCGCCAGGACCAGAGGCAGTTGCAGCCCTTCCCAGCAGGGCCCCCCCCCTTTTTCCCCTTTTTCCCCGCCGCACACCTCGACCCCCCCCCCCCCCCCACCCCCCCCCCTACCCCCCCCCCCCCCCCCCCCCCCCCCCTACTACCCCACCCCCCCCCCCCCCTCCCCCCCCCCCCCCACCCCTTCCCGAGCGGCTGGGCTCACATGAGCGGCTGGGCTCGAGGTGCTAATGGACGCAACAAGCGGGGCTTGATGTTTGTAGGTGTCGCTATAGCACACCCAATGGTTCATAACCTAGGGGTGTCGCTTTTCAAGTGTTCCCATCGTTTTACAGGGTTTTGGGCATTCGTGTCCACCCCTTGCTTAATTGAATGGCTGGGGGTTTTGGCGCTTGCTCACATAAGGTGTTTGTGAAAGGCGGAGTTTTCCTGCTCCGACGCGCTGGCTTGAGGGCCGGAGGCTCAACTGGTGTGAGCACGGCCGCAAATCCGCCTTTGTATAGGTTGTCAGAACAGGCACCCCCCTCCAAATCCTCCCCCACACCCAAAAGCCCTTTTTCGGACCCCTTTTTTTGGCCTCAAATGGGTACCACCCCTGGGAAACCGGGGTCCGCAAGCGGACGGTTCGCCAGGACCAGAGGCAGTCCACCCCACCCCACCCCCTCATCACCCCCCCCTCCCCCACCCCCTCCCCCCACCCCACCTCCCCCCTCCCCCCCACCCTGCCGAAGAGTCGCCTTAAACCTTAAGGGGCCTGGCTCAACCCTACGATCACTCCAAGCCGAACCCTAAACCCAAAAAAACCCTCAACCCCAAAGCGTGAACCTTGAGCCCTAAAAACCCTCAACCCTCAACCCTCAACCCAACCCTTATTGCTTGGGGTCCAGCGACTTGGGCGCTGCGGAATCACCATGCTCACGCGGATGCGCTGGGCCGGGCCGAGGCGGGTCGCGTAGCGTTAAAATTAAACTTTTAGCTGCCTTAATAAGTACCCCAATAAACCCGAAAAAGGTAAGGATCTAAAGTTACAGTAAAGTACCACAAAACCTTGAAACCTCAGAGTCTTCGGGTTTGCAGCTCAGGGCCTGCGGACATGAGGGGCGCAATCCAGAGCAAGCTTTCAAATTGGAGGGTGTTTAGGGTTTAGGGTTTAGGGTTTAGGGTTTAGGGTTTCGGGTTTAGGGGCTTGTCGGATTCCATCTCACGCATTCGTCAGCGGGGCGACGCATAGCAGCTCGGCTTCGCAAGAGAAGGGTTCTGGGCAAATTGGAGGGCTCCGGGACCGGGAGTTTGCCGGAGTTCCGAGGATGCTGGACCCTGAGCACTGAATCCTCAAGCCAAGCCTCAGCCCTAACCCCCTAAGCCGGGTTGTCTTGCGCTTTGTTCGGGTGTTCGACTTTTTAGTTCTAGGCCAGGTCTGCTGAAACCGAAACCCACCCGATGCCACTGCTCGATGGTGCCTCATCATGATACCCTAAAGACCCAGAAGCGAAGCGATGTTTCCCAACACGGCCCAGCCCGGACTTGAAGCACTAGTCACAACGAAGCTGCGAACTCGAAACCCGAAATCTGCACTGGGGATCCGGGCTATGGTTGTAAACAGGAAAGGTCCTGCCAGTGGGAGGGGTGTAGTCGAGAGTCGAGGGCACGTGAATCACAAAACGCTAGAGCCCATGCGCTCCCAAACCTCTCAAGCCCCTGCTCAAAGACCCCAAAAGGCTCACGACTAGGCACAACTAGCCCATTCAAAAGCCCAACAGCATCTTCACACTTGACAATTTCCGGGTGTTTTTCGGTGTGTGGCGAACAAAAAGCCCCAGAACCTTAAAAGCCCCTAGACCCTTTTTGCCGGAGTGGCCAAGGTCCAAATTACCCTCAGGGTCCACGTGCCTAACTATATTCTTGGGCCCAAAAGCCCCTATATATATATTACAGAAGGTACTTTATGGGTACATGGACCCTTCTCAAAAGAAATGGTCCCTTTTGGGGTCCTTATCATAAGGCGGCCACTATTATGTAGGCTACCCAAGAAGGGACCCTAATTTTGAGAAGACACCACATGGACCCTAAACCCTAAGACCTTAGGGTTACAAAGTAGGGCTCTTGGGTCGCCTTGAAGACCTTGGATATTGGCTGCTCCCTTCCCAGAGCGTCATAATGAAAATGCCCAAACCCTGAACCCTAAACCCTTAACCCTGAGCCCTAGGCCCTAAACCCTTAACCCTAAACCCTAAACCCTAAACCCGAGCCTCTTGGCACTTCAGAGGATCTACTAATTGCTTAAGAACCCCCAAAAAGTAAAAACAATTCTTCCTTATTTAGGGTAATCTAGGGGCTAGGAATTATTGTTTTTTGAAATTCTTTTGCGGTTCTTAAGCAAATAGTAGGGATGGCTAGAAGAGGGACACTTGAGGCCTTTGAAATGCCATGTATGTGTTTGTGGGCAGTCCTCTCCCTTTTCAGGAATCCTTGTGTAAAGGGTGCCGCCTTTTCATGGCTACCCAACACGGCACCCTAATTTAGGAGACTACCCGTTTTGGGTTTAGGGTTTAGGGTTTAGGGTTTAGGGTTTAGGGTTGAGGGTTTAGGGCCTTTGCCACGCCCACGCTGCCTGTGCAAATGGTGAGGCAGAAGATCATCAGAAGGAACGGCAAGTCACAAGCGCGAGGAAATATGCCTCAACCAAGCAGAGCCGGGATCCATTTTCGCAATGAACTGCTTGTGAAGGCCGTATGAACACCCTAAACCCTAAACCGTTTAACCCTTAACCCTTCACCCTTAACCCTTAACCCTTAACACTAAACCCTAAACCCTAAACCCTAAAGCCCACACAGCGCCGTCAGAGCCGAAACTCGAAACCCCCAGAAGCAGAAGGGCTGAAGCTCCTCGAAACTACGCCGAAAGAGCCGCGCACAAGGTCCCAGATTAAATCCACAAAACTGGCCAGCTCGGGAAACTGGGAGGTTCCTCATCAGGGCCCCCTCATGAACCTCCATGTAGCCCTAAACCCTAAACCCTAAACCCTAAACCCTAAACCCTAAATCCCTAAACCCCTAAACCCCTAAACCCCTAAACCCCCAAGCAAGCCCAGTGTTCGAAACCCTGCAGGTCTGAGAGGCACCCGAGCCGTCCGTCGGCACTCCCGGGAGGCCTGCAATGGGAGCGTTTAGGGTTTAGGGTTTAGGGTTTAGGGTTTAGGGTTTAGGGTTTAGGGTTTGGGTAGCAGGGTTTTGTTGGGGTTGCAGGGGTTTTATGTGGGTTTTTGTCGGGCTTCGGGTCAGAAGACCATTGACCCAAAGATGGATGGGTGATATGGTTCGCGGAACCTAGCGCGCGCCTCATCGCGCACACCTCTGAACCCGAAACCCTGTACTCCTGGAGACTGCTGTCTGCGGATGTGAGTACTCAGCTTCGGGTTGGGTTGAGGATGACTTGGGCTCAGGGAGATGTCAAACTCGCGACTTTCGTGGTGCGTTCACCAGCGCTTCTCGGGATGTGTTCCCCACTATACTAGCGTAGGCGGTGCTACAATCCCTACTAAGGACTGTTAGTAGAAAAGGGAGCACATCCCAACCCTAATTCCCTGAGCCCAACAATCTCTCAACAAGAGCCGGCCCTTCCAGGCTGAGCCCGGAATCTTCACCCTAACCCCTAAACCCTAAACTCTAAACGCTAAACCCTAAACCCTAAATGCTCCGCCCGGACGTGTTGCTGCGGACGATGTGTGAGCAGATCTCGTTATTTACAGTGAGTACTTCCAGCGTTGTGACAGCACTCCCAACTGTTGTTTATCAGGATCTCGTTTTTCCAAAAACGCGATCTTTCTAAACCCTGAACCCTAAACCCCAAACCCCAAACCCTAAACCCTAAACCCTAGACCTGAAACCCTAAACCCTAAACCCTAACTGCGGCGCAACGCTCGGGCGGAGGGCTAAACCCTAAACCCTAAACTTCCAGGGCTAGCTCCAGGGAGCCATGGCGGTGCAAACCTTACACACCCACAAGCCCTGTGAAGAAACCCAAGAATTAAGGTTTAGGGTTTAGGGTTTAGGGTAAACCCTAATCCGAGCTCCTGTTTAATTTAACCCCCCATATTTAAAGAATTTTTTTTTGCCGGGATTCCCGCCGGAAGACTACTTTCCATTACGATGGATTTCGTATGGGCCAAACCCTCCACATTTAAAGAATTTTTTTGAGGGGGTTGTCAAATTTTGAAACTCTGCCTTTCGGAAAGCTTTTTTTCTTCTGCAGGGATGTTTGGGTCGATGTGAAACATCTGCTAAGCCGGGGCTTCGGTTTTCTGGAAGCTGAGGGCCTTCAGAAAGCAAGGATTTCTTATGTGATTGCTTACTGGAGGACAGAAATTTTCATTCTTTCCTGAGCTACCCCTTACGGGCTCTGGCCGGGAAAGGCGGCGTCACATTAATAGAATGGGGCCAGAATTATGGGAAGCCCTGGCCCGTGGGGAGCCCCGGTCCTGTAGTCTTTAAAGAAGCCTTAAAGCTTAAAAGGAAAACCTTCGAGGAAGCTGGGGCTTCGGTTTTCTGGAATCTGACGGGGCCATGGTCCAACTATTGCGGAACCCTGCCTTCCTTATTGTGGGGAGGGGGGGGGGGGCCCCACCAATTAAACAGGAGCTCGGATTAACCTAAACCCTACACCCACTCTTGAGCCAAGGCGCGGAAGCAGTCCCGCACGAAGTTCCCGGCGTTGCGCTGCATGCGGACGACGGTCTTCGCAACGACCAGCTTGTACCACGCGTCGACCTCCGGGGTGGTGTGTGTTTAGGGTTTAGGGTTTGGGGTTTAGGGTTTAGGATTTAGGGTGTAGGGTGCAGGGTTTAGGGTTTAGGAGTACAAGGGGGTGGAAAAACAGTAGTTGCAATCTCATGTGAGGTCTTTAGAGCCCTGTGTGTACATACCCATGAACCTTCAAGTGGGATGGGGTCTCCTACCCTCAACCCTAGACCCTAAGATGCTTGGATCTGGGCTTAGGTTTCAGGGGTTTTCTGGGAGGAAATTCTGGTCTGGGGGTTGGAGAATGGGGCTTCGGAGTCGGCGCTTGGGGTCTTCGAGTGGTTAAGGGGGTGGGTGGGGGGGGGGGGGGGGGTGGGAAGATGCTTGTTTTGACCCTAAACCCGAAGCCCTAAAACCGTGAACCCTAAACCCCAAACCCTAAACCCCCTAACATGCTTAGCTTTTTCATGAAAAATATCAACACGTGAACCCTAAACCCCCAACCCCAACCCCTAAACCCCCTAACATGCTTGGTCTTTGGGCCAGCTTCATTGTTCTACTGGGCATCCGGGTGCAAACCTGTGCTGCAGTTTGGGGGGACTGCAGAGTTCTCGACTATGATGGAGAGGGAGGGCCAAGACCCCCGTGTCTTAGCACGGAATGAGGGAACTTGGCACCTTATGTCCCTCAACATATATATTAAGGGATGATATAGGGTACCTCATGGTTACCTCATTCCAAATTCCCTACGAAGAACCAGAAAGACACTCAGTAAGACATTGTTCACTTCCGCCCTCTTTCTCTCCGGCGGTCTCTGCTGAGCTCAGATGAAGTAGCACGACGGACGTCAAGGCTGGTGCGCGAGGGGCTCGTACGTACTTCCGCCCAATGACCTGCGCCCATACTCGGGCTTTGAGTGCCCCTGAACCCTACAACCCTCAACCCTGCAACGCGATGCATAGAGCCTAAAGGCCGTGGGTTTGAGACACATCGGATGGGCGGCAAGGACTTTAAGGCCTGCTTTGGCGAGGGCGGTTGGTTTGAAGCTTGACAGGGGGGGGGGGGGGGGGGGGGGGGGGCTTTAGGACTGCAAGATCTGCTCAGTTCTTTCGGGTAGAACTCTGAGCCACCTTCGCTGAAGAACCGTCGACGTCGCCAGCGATGAGCCAGAAGCCGTCGTCAGCATCTTCTGAACGCTTCACGGCAATGAAGCAGTTGGAGAAGCTGTACCTTGTTACAGCGATCTAGAAAGGGAACTGCCTACCGTAGTGCTGAGTTTGTGGACTGTCCGGTAAAGCAGCCCAGATGCTCGAGAGCGCCACGCCAGCTCTTCATCAAGTCATGCGAAGCCTTCTTCCAGGAAACCCGGGTGGATGTGAAGGACCGTGGGCTTCGACTCGTGCATTGCATGCCGTGTCCATGCCAGGAGGATATCATTTCCTTAAGGTGGTCTCTTAGTCCCCACGGCTGCCTCTCGCCTTCTAGGTCATGTACGCAACAGCAGACCAACACCAAAAAACTCCGAACCCAAAAGCCCAGCCAAAAACCTAGATACCTAGATGCGAACCATTTCCGAGTCTTCCGAGAGGGCGGCGTCGCAATCTCGCCACTTGCACGGACCGACAGGTGTTGTCGTGCCAGTTGCACCTCCGCCACCTGAGTTGGTCTGGGGTTTAGGGTTCAGGGTTTAGGGTTTAGGATTTAGGGATGGATGACTCCCTCTTGCGTGGACCATGGACTCGGAGGACGCGCGGGACGTGGGGCGGCTCTCGCATGCATTCTGGAGTTTGAGGGCCCGAAGGAGTTTAGGATGCGACTTCTCATGATTCAAGGTGGCTCCCGAAAGAGTTCCGGACTTAGGATTCAGGAGGGCCCTCAAATGTTTCAAGCCCGTTGCCGCCTCGCCGTTGACCGTGACTTTACACGCGATGACGCATCGTTGGATTCCACTCTGCAGTGCCGAAATCGCCGTAAATCCGCCTTCTTCAGTCTCAGCCGACCAGGATCCACAGTCGAAGAAGACGAACCCACGCTGATCTCGGTCCAGCCGAACCCAATCTGCGCACCCCTGCACAACTCCAGAACAGGCAGCGCAGTTCCGCATGATGGGCCTGACTCGTGTTTCATGCTCCGAATCCGAACCTACGGGGCCCAAGGGGCCATGCGCAGTGGCCCCAGTAGTCTCAGACTTCATCGGCCGCCACTCCGAAGACCACCCCTTCCTTAGTTGTTCCAGTACCTAGGGGAACTGAAGGTTATAACCTTTGGGACTAGAAGGGGATTACATATTTATCCCAAAAACGGTTAGAAGGTTACCTTATATATATAATATATATTTTCCAAAAACGGTTAAAAAGGTTACCTAATTACTCTGCGACTAAGCTTCCAAGTGCCAACCACATTGTCGCAGAAGCTCTCGAAGCATGGACCCTGGGCTCTGGCAACACCTGCTTGAAGGTTCAGGGGTAGTTACCCTAAACCCTAAACCCTAAACCCTAAACCCTAAACCCTAAACCAGGGTTCTAAGTACACTAAGTAGGTCATGAGTATAGTTGCCCTACGTATAACCCTTGAAGGTTCATGGGTAGTTATAGAGCTAGAAGTACCCTAAGTAGGTTTATAAGTGTAGTTCCTACTTATCATAAGTAGGGTTACAAGTACCCGTTATAAGTACCCTAAGTAGGTTATCAGTATAGTTCCTACTTATCACTACCCACCTGGCCGCCGAACTCTGGGCAAGGAAGCCGCAGCAAGGGATCCGAGGAGCCACGTTGAGAGTCCGCACCTTTTTCTGATCTTGGAACCCTGGCAAACATTAGAATGTTTAGCTGCTTCTTGGGAATTCATAGTACCCAGAAATGAAAAACTCTCAAAAATTCCCTAGGGCGGCTTTCTGCTGCTTCTTAGGGATTCTGGTGCCCCTAGAATTAAAAATTCTCAAAAATCCGACAGGCTGCCGCTCCGGAAGGGGGCCACACAGTCTCCTCTGTTGCGAGACCGCTGGGCCTCCCCAGACCCCCTGGGAGGATCCCAAAAAAACAGAGCCCCCAAATAGTACCCTATACTACTATTGGGTCACTCTACTAAGTCACTCTTAGGGAACCCTTAAGGGGGTCTATTTTTTTGGGGGGTCCTCCCAGGGGTCTGGGTCTGTTGCGAGACCGCTGGGCCTCGGCCCGACTGCAGGTGGCCCTGAAGGCCGCAGGGCTCGACAATGAGAAAGCTCGCCATGCTGGGTACCTAACCCCTAAACTGGCCCGAAACCCTACACCGACACCCTAAACCCTAAACCCTAAACCCGAAACCCTAAAGCCTAGGATCTTGTTGGGAGTTCGCAAATTTCGGGTGCTGGTCGACTTGAATACCTTTGCGCGAAGGGGGCTCCATCTTCCACCATACCCACCAGGTTCAGGCTTTGGCTTTAGGGTTTGGGGTTTAGGGTTTGGGGTTTAGGGCTTGGGGTTTGGGTTTAGGGTTTGGGGTTTCGGGTTTACCTATGGGGCCTCTGGTGTTTTAGGTGTCCTTCTTTAGGTTGGGTTTGTCGGCAAGCTTGGGCTCTTGAGCAAAAGGCAATGGGAAGGGGCAACAGATCGTGCAGCAGACTTGCGGGCGTTGATCTGTGCGATGGTCCAAATTTGGAACCTGGCTGAGGACTCCACCACCCTAAGCCCGAAACCCGAAACCCCTAAAACCTTAGAATCCCTAAACCCCAAACCCTAAACCCTAAACCTTAGAAACCCTGAACCCCAAACCCTAAACCTCAGAAACCCTAAACCTTGGAAACCCTAAACCTCCTAAGCCCGAAACCTTAAAACTCCTTAACCCTAAACCCTAAACCTCCCAAACCCTACAGTAAACCACCCCCCGGCCCCCCAAACCAACAACCTCCCCCGCACAGAACGGCCTCGTCCGCGTGGCAAGGGCTCTCCTGGGTAACGATGTGGCTGGCAAAGGAGCTCAGGAGGTAGCCGCCCCCAGACACCGCCGCGATGTACCTCTAAGGGTTCAGGGTTTAGCTTTAGGGTTCAGAGTTTGGGGTTTGGGGTTCGGGGTTTGGGATTGGGATTCGGGGTTCGGGGTTCGGGGTTCGGGGTTCGGGGTTTGGGGTTTGGGGTTTGGGGTTTGGGGTTTGGGGCACCTCTAGAGGGTCTACTTGGAGGTTCATGGTTAGGTATAAGTGGGGTTTAGAGGTGCCCTAAACAAAGTCAGAACCACTCATTATCATCATTGCCCTCCTTGTAACCGTTCTTACAACTACCCATGAAACTCCATGTCTAGGGCCGCCAGGTATCTACTGCTCTATGAGGTGCATTTTTTTGGGGGGTTGGGGTTTAGGGTTTAGGGCTTAGATTTTTGCGGCTGGGCCATGTTCACCTGCTACCTGGGCTGCGAAGTCGCACTTCTTGGGGGGGGGGGGGGGGCTTGAACTGCAGCAGACTCTGAAGCTAGGCCCCTTAAAACCCTCTGAAAACATGTTCCTGAGCATGAGCCTCTTAAACCCAATAACCCCCTGAGAAGATACTCCTGAAAGTGATCCCCTTAAACCCCAAATAAGGGAAAATACAAAATGTCCCTTATAAGGGCCTCCTAAATCCCTAATCCCTAATCCCTAAACCCTAAACCGCTCACCTAGGAAGCCTGCGCCTCAGGTCTGAGGAGCGGACTCGATGTCCTGCCAGGAGCCAGGAAGGAGCGGAGCCAACCAACACGAAAACACAAAAAAAAAACAAGAAACGGTTGAAGTTGCTTTTGATTCGATTGTTCCTGGGTAGTGTTTTTCTTTTGGGTTCGACCATTTTCTGAGTAGCTTCATCTTGTTCTCGCTTCTCTTCTCTCCCATTTTAACCAAAGACTCTGAAAATCACACGGTGAGTCCTCTAAGTTATGGTCCTTCTGGGGGTCCTTCTTATAGGGCGGCCTCTCTTCTTCCCTAAACCCTAAACCCTAAACCCTAAACCCTAAACCCTAAACCGTCTAGGGTACCCCAAAAAGGGACCCTAACTCAGAGCCGACCCTACGATCTCGCCCTTCCCTGAGCTTTAGGGTTTAGGGTTTAGGGTTTAAAGTTTAGGGTTTAGGGATCGATTTCCAATGAAGCGGAAGCCCTGGGAGAAGCTCCTGAACGCATCAACCTCTGCGAACACCAAGGGCTTCAATTCAGGGCAGCCCTAAACCCTAAACCCTAAAACCTAAACCCTAAACCCTAAACCCTAAACCCTGGGTGCGAAGCCTGTACCACTCCAGCTTCCGCCAGCTGCCACAGCACCCCGGCCCTGGCATGGGGGTCGAGGCTTGACCCAAGAGAAACATACGAATACAAAATGGCGCCCTAGGGTATAGGGTTTAGGGTTCAGGGTCTAGGGCTTAGGGTGTAGGGTTTAGGGTTTAAAAATGGTGTCCTAGGGTTTGAAAATAGGACCTAATCCCGCAATACTAATGGTCGCTAGTAGGGATTAGAATAGGGGGGTACTATGATCCCTATTACTAGACCCAAGAGTAACCAAGGAATGAAAACGGTGCCCTTGTTGGTTTAAAGGGGTTTCAAAGGGAACCTAGACCCTAAACAAATGCAATAAGGGCCTACTCCGGGTCCTAGTAGGGTTCGGGATTTGAGGCTTTAAAGGGGTCTATTGGGTTTTTGGGGGGCTTATGGGATTTTAGGGTTTGTCGGAGTTGATAGATTTGTTTAGTTTGTAGGAGTTTTCGGGGTTTATAGGACCTTGGGTATATAGGATTTAGGGGCTTAGGTTATCGGATGTAGAGGGGGCTTAGCATTCGCAATGCCGGGATCCACGAGCTCGACCCTGAACACTACCATTGCAACCCTAAACTTCTAAACCCTAAAGCCTAACTCCTAAAGCCTAAACCCTAAACCCCACTGGTAGCAGCAAGCGCGGTTGGGCCCCATTTATCGTAAAACAATTGTCAAGATTCGGACCGGAGACTGCTTTTCAGTGATCTAGTATCCGTAGGGTTTGTGGTCTAGGGTTTAGGGTTTAGGGTTAAGGGTTTAGGGTTTTCAGATTCGGGTTTGAGCTTCTATCCCTTGACTGAGGTGTAGAGACTCCTCCTAGGATTCCTATTGCAGCTCAAGGAATCAGCCATTGACTAAGGGATATTGGAGTCCCTGGGTTCAGCACTCTATATGCATTCCCTCATTTTCAGGAACCCAACAAGGTACCCCTAAACCCTAAACCCTAAACCCTAAACCCTAATTTCGGAGGCCTCCATGACAGCATGGCAGCGAACCCTAAAGCCCCTGGACCCTAACGACCTGAAGCCCGAAAAACCGCCTGCCCCCTACGTGAAAGCTCATGGGCAACCGGAGTTGTGAGGCGACTGTAATTTATAAGCCCTAAACCCTAATCCCTGAACCCTAAACCCTATTTGGCTCGGAAGTGCAATGAGATGCGAAACTTCGCCGGATTCACTGGAACGTTGCCGCACGAATGCCGCCGCCGGAGAACGCCACCGAGAAGCGAGGCCTCTTGCCTGCTCAAATCTCAGAATGCTCACTAAGGCGGTTGATTATCGCAGGAGAGGGGTCGTTGCACGAACAATGGCGTCCCTGTCTTCCTCGGGAGCCGAAACCCTGGAGGGAAGCAAGAAGAACCCTAAACCCTAAACCCTAAACCCTAAACCCTAAACCTAAACCCTAAACCTTGGACGCGATTGCACACAAGAGGAGATCAGGCCAGGGATGGGGCCCCCGCCGGACCGCATCGGGGTTGCGATCCCAAAAGGAAATCCTCCGTTCGGCACCCAGTCCAAGATTTTAACCCTAAACTGTTAAACCACCCAGCCAGTGGCCAGAACATAATTACATACATATATACGTACAGACAGACAGACAGACAAACAGACAGACGGACGGACGGACAGACAGACATACACATACACATACGTGTTCATGCATACATGCATACATGCCTACATGCCTACATGCATACATGCATACATGAATACATGCATTAGTGCATCAGTGCATTAGTGCATACATGCCTACATGCCTACATACATACATACATACATACATACATACATACATACATACATACATACATACATACATACATACATACATACATACATACATACATACATACATACATACATACATACTTCAAAGTTTCAGGTACGCCTTGCCAGCCAATGCTCTCTCGCCCCCGCAGCTTCTGCTGGATCAACTCCTGCTCTTTGGCGTAGACCTGGCGCTTCTCAGGCCACTTGGGTGGAAAGTTCAGGGTTTAGGGTTTAGGGTTTAGGGTTTAGGGTTTAGCGTTTAGGGTTTGGGGCTTAGGGGGTTTAGGGGAGCTTGGGGCCCCTTCAGGGATTCTGCCTTAAACTGGCAAAGGGGGGAGCTCAGGGTGACCGCAAGTCGGGCCTAGATCCGAGCAAGGGGGCTCCTGGGCAATCAGAGAGCTTATATGGAGCGGTTTAGGGTTTAGGGTTTAGGGAACCCTAAACCCTGAACCCTCAACCCTAGCCCAGGGTGTCTTTAGCCTCGTCCCACGTCAGGTAGTTGTCCTTCGCAGACACTTTGCAGCAAACCGGTCCAATCGGGTCGTGCAGCTTGGGGTTGGGCCTTGGGTACTTTAGCGTCCCTAAAAAATGTTGAGCCTCGAACCCTCTTTTTAAGTGGTTTAGGCGCTAGGGTTTAGGGTTTAGGGTTTAGGGTTTAGGGTTTGGGGTTTGGGGTTTGGGGTTTAGGGTTTAGGGTTTAGAGGTGTTGAATCCCTCCAGATGGAATCTTGCAGATGGGTGCGGGAGCAGATGAGGGTCCGGGTCTACTTCCAACACACTCATCTGGAGGCCGCCTGAGCGGAACTACCCCTCCCCGGCCCCATCAAACAACAAACCCTAAAACCTGAAACCTAAACCCAAGCTCCAAACCCCCAAAACCTTGAACTCCCCCATCCTCAAACTCCAAGCCATGCACGACCTTCAGCCCGCAAGCAGGGCCCCTTTTAAGGTAGGGGGACCCTGATGTAGAACCCTAAACCCTAAACCCTAAACCCCAAACCCTAAACCCCAAATCCTAAACCCTAAACCCTAAACCCCTAAACCCTAAACCCCTCAACCCCTCAACCCCTCAACCCCTAAACCCCTAAACCCTAAACCCTTCACCCTTAACCCCTAAACCCTAAACCCCTAAACCCCCAAGGCCCTCCAAGCTTCCGGGAGTCGAGAAGGGGTTGTGATCTCTCGCATTTCGAAGCGGGGGGGGGGGG